ACATGAAATTTGTATTTCATGTAAAAAGCACATAACATTAAATTTACCATCCTAATAACCATTTATTTGTTTATTTTAAAAAATATATATTTTTATTGATTTCAGAGAGGAAGAGAGAGGGAGAGAGAGATAGAAACATCAATGATGAGAGAATCATTGATTGGCTGCCTCCTGCATGCTTTTTACTGGGGATTGAGCCTGCAATCTGGGCATCTAACCCAGACTGGAATCTAACCATGACCTCCTGATTCATAGGTCAACGCTCACCACTGAACAACACTGGCCAGGCCCTAATAACCATTTTTAAGTTTTACAGTTGAACAATGTTAAGTACATTCACATTGTGCAGTCCAGGATCATTTTGCAAGAGAGAAAGAGAGACTCCCATCTACTATCCTCATCCTATATAATAAAAGCCTAATATGCAAATTGACCGAATGGCAGAATGACTGGTCTCTATGATGCGCATTGACCACCAGGGGCAGACACTCAATGCAGGAGCTGCCCCCAGCCCTCAGGCCCCAGGCCAGCCAAGGTGGGTGCCAGCAAAGGGCCCCCTAATCGCCCAGCCGTCGCCCCACAGATCGACCCTGATCACTGGCCAGGCTTAGGGACCCTACCCATGCACAAATTTTGTGCACCAGGCCTCTAGTCATTTCATAAAAGAAAGAGCAATTTAACATCAAAAGGGAAACAAGGAAGGCTGTCATCGTAGCTGCAAGAAGTTCCTCCCTAACCTGTGGTAGAATAGTACAGAGAATCATAATCATGCAGGGAAAAGAAATAGTACAGAGAACAACATAGCCAGGAATTCTGTACAACCATTACTCTGATTTTTAAAATGGCTAACCTTCTGTCGTCCTTGCTCCAGGTCTTTCCTGCTTGAAGTGACTGCACATGAACTGTTTGTTACCAGGCCATGGTGAGACAAGAGCTTTCACTAGAATGAAATGAGCCATACCACTAAGCACACAGTCCGGTAGCTGATACTTTTTCACAGCAAGTTTTTATTGAGGAAGGAAGTTGTGTGTTGGTTTACATCCTGGCACGAGTATCTTATCATCAGTGGTCCAAGTGCCAGTAGCAAGCAGTTCATGTAGTGGCTCTGGTCAGCAGCCCTGTCCTAGATCTGGTTGTGTTTTTTTTTTTTTTAGTTCCTTTTTTTTAAATTTAATTAAATCTTTATTGTTCAGATTATTACATTGGTTCCTCTTTTTTCCCCACCATAACTCCCCTCCACCCAGTTCCCACCCCACCCTCAGCCCTCACTCCCCACCCACTGTCCTCATCCATAGGTGCACGATTATTGTCCAATCTC